ATATTTATATAATTACAACACAAATATTTTAACAAAAATTTTGTCAAAAAAAATAATATATAAATTTATCACAAAAGTTTAATAAAAATATTATTATTTCAATACTAATCAATTTTGATTAAAATTAATCAAATCCGATTAAAATTAATCAAGCCCGATTAAAATTAATCAGTCCAAACTAATTTCAAGTTTTATTGAGTTTCACATGTTTTATAGTGCAAAAATTTATTTTTTTAAATATTTTTTGTCGATGTGGGATATATTTATAGTGCAAAACCTTATTATCTTATGTGTTTTTTATTAATGTGAAATGCATTGATTAGAGAAAATTGACAGTTTTTAGTGACGAACTATATTTTTTAGTGTTAAATTATTTGGTCATCATTGAATGTGTAAGGTATATGTGACTAATATTAAAATTTTGTCATAATTGTAATGCATTATAATGATAATTTTTATCGACAAAAGCTTATTTTATCTTTATGAATATTTTTCGGTAACGAAATATATTTTTTATGGTGAATTTTTTTGTTCATTATTAAATATGTATGCATTTGTGACTAATTTTTTAGATCTGTCATAATTGTGATAAGTTATAGTGATAATTTCAAAATTTATCACAAATTTCTTTCACTAAAAATTATTTTTTTTGTAGTGTCCATGTCAACACAAACAGAAATTTCACAGAATTTTGCGGAAGCAGACCGCCATGACAGCTCGGAAAAGAGCTTCAGCGACTGCGACAACAACAGCGGCCGCTGCAGACTTGAGGCCAGCTCAAGCAGACCATAAATCCCCCGAAAGCACCTCTTCTGATCCGTCGATCGCGCCGCCAAAATGGGGAGTAATCGGGAAGCTTTCTCTTTTATTCTCAATCCCATACTTTTACCTCCTCTTCTACCATTACAAGATCCAACAAGAGTTGAAGAGATCGATCCTTATCAATGCTGGACTCAGTCTTGCCGGCTTCTTTGTTACTCTAAAGATGATACCCGCGGCTTCTAGATATGTTCTGAGGCACAGCTTGTTTGGGTACGATATCTACAAGAAGGGTACCCCTCAAGGAACTGTTAAAGTATGAGTCCAATTTCTTTTCATCCTTTGTTTCATATAGGTTTTGTAGGTTTTTATTCATTTGGGGAACTGGGTGTATGTTAGTTTGCAATTCCATTTCGATTAATAAACTGTGTATGGGTTTTGATTCCAATTCATGAAATGGGTTCTTGTTTAGGATTCATTTTCTCATCAAATTCGTTGGCTTTTAAAGAGTCATTAGTCCTACTATGCTCATTAGTGCTAACTATGCATTCCTTGGATTCTCAGTCGCCGCCTGCATTGTTCAATCAAAGAAATGTCTCAGCTTTCTTATTTTACTTTCTGTTTCTTAAATTTCAATATCATTATCACATGAATTAATAAAATTTCCCACCCTGTTAAATTCAAAATTTTCATATTTATCTTTTAATTGTTACAGTTATATATTAACTATCTGTTTCTTTTTCTAGCTTTGATTTTTAAGGTCGGTAGACGTTAAAATCTCTTCTCCATCGATGCAGGGGGACTTGTTTTCATGAAATTTTCTTTAGCTTAAGTGAAGCAAAGATATTTTAGATTTTCACTTACGTTGTTAGACCACTGCATATGTTCTGATAGACTTCACCTGCATAACTGATTATAGTCATTTCTATACAAAATTAGTCTTTTGTAGAAAAGTGTCCTGCATTCTTTCCTCTCTCACTCCACATCATTTAATAATAAAACTATCGTATCTTTCCAAAAAAAAAAAAAAACTTCTGCAATAATAAAGATAGTGGAAAAGCCATGGGAACGTGTACACATAGATGGGCAACCACATGATCGTGGTTTTAAATTTGGATCTAAGAAGGATACCACTGAGGTAGTTTTCAAGAAATGTGGTGTTCTCCAGCTGACTTCTGGCATTGAAGGGTTAGCTCTATGCAAGACAACCCTGGTTTTGAGGGTTTTATTAGGGACAAATATACAGCTTTGCCTGAAACAGGAGAAGGGATCCTGGGAACTGAATTTACTGCACTGTGGAGGTACTCTTATGAATCTATCTCAAGCATCCCTCAAAAGCCATTTTACTTCAATGAGAGATTCCTAGACGTGAAAAAAGTTTTGATGGAAGCTTTCTTTGGTCCTCCAAAAGAAGGGGTATATAGCCCATCTGTTCACAGTACTCTTGTCCAAGAAGGCTGTTCTTAGCAGGTTTCGTGACACATCAAGCGTTCAACTGTAAATGCCAAATATCTTTTTTTTTTTTCTTTCTTTATCAAGCCAAAAATCCATTTCTTACCGGTTAATTTATCAAACAACGAAAATGGGACTATAGTGAAGTTCGAAGATGATATCTATTTACCAACGGATGAACCTCTTGGATCAATTCAAGCTAAACTGATCCGCTTCTAGTCAAAGATGTAGAAGTCCTCCGATATTGTTATATGTGCTGCTGTCGTGATAGTCTGCAAACTGATGCTACTTGATTGTTCATTCTCAAAAAATGGGCTGAGAAATTGTATAATTCTCGTGTATATTCATAAGAAAATTTCAACTGCATATATATTCAACTCTTAAGATATTTGAATTAAGGAAATTCCCTAAAGCTAATACCGACGGCTGTTAATTGGATTGAAAGTTTATCAATGCCTAACGGCTGGAATGGATTATGACTAACGGTTATATTAATTTGCTATACAGAAAATATCTCTCATACCCTCTCCAAGGTGGAGCATATGTAAATCTGTAATGCCTAACTTGCGGAGAAAAAATTGAACTGATCTCTTTCCCATGCTTTTGTAAATATATCAGCTACCTGACCGTTTAGAGCGAATATGCGAAGTACTGATAACACGAATTTGAATCCAATGCCGAATAAAATGATAATCGAGTTGAATTTTCTTTTTTCATTCATGAAAGACAGGATTATTGGCGATGTGGTGGTAGCCACCTGGTTGTCGCAATATATGTAATTGGATTGGCCGAGAGTGTTCAACTCGTAATTAATGTCTTGCGTAAAGCTTTGAGCTATAAGAATTCACTTACTGTGGAAGCCATTCCGCTGGTGATCGATCTTGACACAGTTGATTGTTTTTTTCTGCCTTCCAAAAAAATGGGTGAGGTGTCAAGCATGGTAATTAATGTGGCCAGTTGTGGATCTTCGAGTTGTGGGACAACTGGACCAAACTGAACGACGATAAGCTGAAAGATGTAAAGAGTTTGGTGAGGAGAGAAAAATTTTCATATGAACTACGATTAAAAACTAGAAAACAATTGATCTACATTTAGTTTAATATATCTTTTGATATTTATTTAAATTTAGTCATTAAAAATACAAATTAAAATACAATCGATCCAATAAATTATTACATTTTGTATGCATAATTTTTATTTTTAAATTTATTTATTTTTAATTTTAAATTAAAAAATAATAATTTTTTAATAAGTATATTATAAAATATATACCAATTAATGTCCTTAAAAATTTTATTTTTATTTTATAGTTCT